CTTTTAATTGAATTGCCACTGATTTGCTTGGAAAATGGTCGGAGTTTATTTTTTTATATTTCAGTGGTAAAATCCAAGCTCTGCTTGGTGAAGGTTCCCGAGTCACTTCCTAGCACAGTGGTGGCGAACCTATGGCACAGGTGCCAGAGGTGGCACTCGGAGCCCTCTCTGTGGGCACACGTGCCGTTGCCTCAGCCTCACCTCCCCCCACGACCCCCTCCTCTCCAGCAGCCCCCCTGGAGGAGAGTCGCCCCTGAGCATGGCCCACGCGGAGCAGCGCAGCCGAGGACATGGCAGCCAGGCAGCGTAGACAAGACTCTGCCCTCACACCCCATCATGCACATTTGATGCTGCAGGGCGCAGGCAGAGGGCGTGACCGCCATAGCACTGCTGGGCTACCTGGGCGATCTGTGGCGGGCCCTGGAGGCGGTGAGTGGCCCTGCGGGCAGGTGGGGGTGGGGCAGGGGGTGGAGCAGAGGCAGGGCCAGTTTTTGGGCACTCGGTCTCTAAAAGGTTCGCCATCACTCTCCTAGCATTTACAGAACAGGCTACTAGGAGCAAACTGCCTCACAATTTGGTGAACCTTTGCCAGCCAGGATGGTCTTCATGTGTAAGGTCCTTTCGTGATCGAATCAATCAATTGTAAGCTTCAGTTCATCTAATTCAAGTTGATTGTTTTGTTCACCTGGACTTTTAGTAGCTAGAAAGCTAAGCAAAACATTGTTAGATCATCTTGCCTGCAGGGAAATTCCAACTCTAAGAACTAATAGTCATCACAGCTTTTCTTATGCAACCTGGCTAGATGGTAGCATCTAGCTAGACTTGGCTAATCTTGGAAAAGCTAAACAAGATTCAACTCAGTTAATACTCGGATGAGACACCACTAGGAAATGTACATTCAAAAGCAATTCAGAAAGCAGCAGTGGAAATGACTGCCATATCTTTACCAAAAAAAGCTATATGGATATGTCCGTGAGGTCACCAGAGGTTGTGCACAAAAGTTTTCTTCTTACTCTACAATTTTCAAGGCTATTTTTCTATTTTTTTTTCTACCGCTGGAAAGTTACTTGACCTAAAAAAAGGTTCCTGTATGCCTATCCCTTCATAATTGCAGGTTCTATTTTTTTTCTTTGTATAGTATACTTAAAAGTGCTTTGTTGTAGCTTCCAAGAAAATGAGTTGGTATCTGAAAAAGATTTCCTTTAGATATAGAATTTATTTGGTGAGTCACTGTCAAGAGGTTTCAAGTAACAGCTAATGGATAAAATGAGCAATACTTGGCTATTGGGAAGAAAATAAATGCAGCCAGGAAATGAACAATTTCTTGCTGTGGGACAATGCTGAAAACCACCATGTTGTTCTTACTGAGAGATGGAGGCTGAGCAAAGAGAAGGATGCAGCACCCATTGTGTAGCTATTAATCTGTGCAAGTCCAGATTGTTGACTCAGGTAACCATAGATGCTCCTGTTCCATTTTATTACTCCTGTTATGGTGATCACCATTATGTGTCTTAATCCATAAGATATTTGCCTTGGAAGAGTGGGAAGCTCTGGATGCATTTTTTTTTTTAAAAAAACAAACCCAAATACCGGTTCATTATAGCAGGGGTTTCCAAACTTGCCAACTTTTAAGACCTGTGGACTTCAAATCCCATAATTTATCAACCAGCATGGTTGAAGTCCACAAGTTGCCAAGTTTGGAGATCCCTGCACTATAGAAGATCTACTATATAGATCCTTCACGAATGTCACTCTTAATTCTCATTGTTTCAAAAGGCAGTTGTTTAGTTATTGCCTTTGAAGATCTTAAATGATTACTAATACATGCAGGTCATCAGTGAATTTCTTTTGTCTTTTAATTGCATGCAGGAAAGCTTCCCATTCCTCCCTAATGAGTAAATAAATCAGCACATGCAACTTCTTTCCTGTTGTAATGAATGGGTGTTCTCCGGTTTTTTCTGAGTCATGCCCAGGGGACAGTGCTCACTGTCAGTTGTCCTGCTTGCAAAAGGCTGAATCAGAGCCTAGTGATATACAGAAGTATTTACAGAAGCAGAACATCAAATAACTTCAAGGCTGCAGTCAGTTTTTTTAATTCCTCGAGAAAGTTTTTGTGGCAGCGACTTCTAGATAAACAAGAATCCGATCAGGCTGAAAAATACGCAATTTTGCCTCTGAATAAAAGGGGGGCTGAAGGAAGAGTCAAGTTTGTTTTCCTAATAGCGTGAGCTAGAAAACTATTTTAAAATCCAGTTAACATCTAATCAATTGCCATGCTCCCATTTTGCAAATCAAATCTTAGTACGTTCTCTAGCTCAGGGCTTTTCAACCTTTTCACCCATTGTACCACTTTTAGGATATGGCGACATCCGAGTACCACCAGTCACCTAGCAAGGTGTCAAAAACTTGATGACCAAAAAAAAAAAGGAAAAAAGTGATAAAGTACAGGTAGTCCTCGACTTACAACAGTTCGCTTAGTGACTGTTCGAAGTTACAATGGCACTGAAAAAGTGCCCCCCAAGGCACAGCCGAGCAAGACACCTGCCTGCCCGCCCGGCGGTGCTCTTCCTCCTGTCCGAGGTTTTCATTGTTGTGAGCATTTCTGTTGAGGATTGGCAGTGGGGGTGGGGTGGGGGGTGTTTGGTTTTTATTCCCCCCCCGTCTGCTGGGTGGTTGCAGCAGGTTTTGGTCACTTCACATGACCCTGGGACACTGTGACCGTCATAAATATGAATCAGTTGCCAAGCATCTGAATGTAAATCACAAGACCCTGGAGATGCTGCAACATTCCAGCTGATCGGCGCTTCTTCTGGGCTCAGCAGAAGTACCAGGATCAGTGCTGCTTTCCAGCTGATTGGTGCTTCTTCAGGGCTCAGCAGAAGCGCCAGGATCAGTGCCAAGCTCCAGCTGGAGCCTGGCACTGATCCTGGCGCTTCCGCTGAGCCCTGACAGCCCTGCAGCTCCAGCCGTCTCTCGCTCAGGCTTGTGCGGTGCTGCCACCGGTTCAGCTCATTCCCCTCCCCCGCTACCACTTTTCTAAGATGGTCGCGTACCACCTGCCAGGTGCCAATGTAGCACAGGTGGTACCCGTACCACTGGTTGAAAATCCCTGCTGTAGCTCTCACATTTAGTAGTTTTCATTCAACGGTTCAGATGCAGGAGCCCTTCACCACATCTCGTGTGTAAATTTCTTTTTTCATCTCCGTTCATTTTAGGCTTTGGGCTTTCTCCCGCAGGCGTAGCCCTGCTTGCGCAGGATGGACCCTGTTGTCCTGAGTTACATGGACAGTTTGCTGAGACAATCGGACGTTTCTTTACTAGATCCTCCCTGCTGGCTTAACGACCACATCATTGGGTTTGCCTTTGAGTATTTTGCCAACGACCAGTTCCGAGACGTCTCCGACCAGGCCTGCTTCGTGGGCCCGGAGGTGGCTCAGTTCATCAAGTGTACCACCAACCAGGAGGAGCTGGCCCTGTTCCTTGAGCCCCTGGCCCTGTTGCACAAGAAAATGGTGTTCCTGGCGATCAACGACAACTCCAACCAAGCGGCAGGCGGCACCCACTGGAGCTTGCTAGTGTATTTCCAAGACAAGAACTGCTTTGCTCACTACGACTCCCATAGCAGGTGTAACTCAGCGCACGCCAAACAGGTGGCAAGGAATCTGCAGTCCTTCCTTGGCAAGAGGGGCAAAGTTGCCTTTGTGGAGGAGAAGGCCCCGGCGCAGCAGAACAGCTATGACTGTGGGATGTATGTGATCTGCAACACTGAGGCCCTGTGCCGAGAATTCCTCCTCCGAGAGCAGCAGGAACCGGTGCTTCAGCTCTTGACTCCTTCCTACATCACAGGCAAGAGAGAAGAATGGAAAAAACTCATTGCTACGCTCTCCGAGAAGTGACTTGTGACTTCTTTCCAGATATTGGTCTTTTTTCTTTTTTTTTTTAAATCTTGTTCTCTGTGCCTAAGAGGAGCACTTGTGCACAAGACTTTTTTTTTTTCCCCCTACAGAAAGAATGTACTTATCTTTGCACTTCTGCACTGCATTATTCTGTAGTGCTAAATCCCTGGGAAGTAGCTACGCCATCTTCCCTACCGTTTGGAACAGCTGCTGCTTAGCCTAACCTCTGTATCCTCCCAAATCCCCGCATCGCTCAAGTTCTTTGTACGCTTGTTTGTGTGTGTGTGATCCAGTTTTAGTGATGTCAGTGGCAGACACACGGTGTGCCTCTGTGTAATTATGGCAGCTTTCAGTGTCTCTCTTTCGTAAGCATCCCTGAATATCTGGGAATTGAGATCAGATCGTTGTGCTGCTGCAAAATTACTGTTATCGCTTGTGTCCAAAGCTTCAGTCTTGGGACTAGGAAGGAGAGGTCCCATATTCCTGCTTTTCCGAAAAGGAAGTGGGGAAAAGCTACTTATTGTGTGAAGGGTTTTGCCTGCCTCCAGTAACTATGTGCTTTACTGTAGTGGGAGGAAGCCAAATTGCTGTACAGTACAGTAGCCTTGAAAGCAAGAGAATCAGCTCCCTCGTTATTTCTAGCTCCATCTCCGCCTCCTGGTTATTTAACACAGTAAGGATTTTTTAAGGTGCTGTACTTCTGAATGAATGGTATGATGAAACTGTTAGAGAAAAAGAAATTTTCCCTTCGATATATCTATATATCTTTACAGAAACTGGAATTTCTGCACCTCACTTTGAGCACTTTGACCTAGAGAGTGCCTTAATAGTGCACTGAATCGATTTCCCTAAATTGTATTCAGCTGGAGCGAAGTCAGGTTTAGTTCCGTCACCTAACACGGCACCCTAGGATCTCTCGATTATTTACTTGTAAAGGCAGGAGTTCTCGAGTGTTTTGTGCAATGAAGAGCTGGAGTTGACTCACATTCCTTGAGAATTGCAAATGCAGACAACTGGCTGGTGTGCTAGTGGTTCTGCTGCAGAGATTCAGCAACACGTTAGGGGAAAATTTGTAATAGCCAACCAAGCAGGGGATTAGTGCTTACTTATTTCTCAAGTCTTCTTCCTTTTTAATTGCCGAACAATATCTGGGATTTGGAGTGAAGGTAGAATCATGACCGAGATTCTTCCATGGTTGTGTGATGAAGATTTGCTTCCTTCTGCTGAATATTTGGCTGGGCTGAAAAAAGTAACCTATCTTGTTTGGTAACATACCAAGCCAGGTGGTATAGCCATAAAGCCTATGTTATGTCTGCCCCCCTCACCATTAAATCCTGTTTTATTGATTCGTCATCGATGCTGCCTCAGCAAAAAAAAGTCCTTTTTAAATGCTTCAACAGGATTTAAGTAACAAGTTCAATCGTTTTACTGTATGTTGAAATTGTTGGGCAGCAGCACTTCGTAATTTCTCTTATTTGCATAATTGCATTATGTTTGGGGAAACCTCCAGTCAAAAATTAAAAAGTAAACCTGAAAATCTGAAAAGTGATGCTCGGTGGCAGTCTGTTTTTGTTTCCATACAATTGTTAAATTGTGGGATCCATATCCAGCTAGAAGAGAGGGAAACAAGACACTTAGTTCTAGAGATGTTTTCTGGAAGACGACTAAGCCTCTGCAGACCCTGATGGATTGTTAGAGCGCAGTTATAGCTCATTCAAATCAAGGATGCCTTCAGAGACTTTCTTGATGCAGCTCATTAATTCAATCGTGGAAATCTAGGAGAGCATCAGAAGCACCTTGGAGGTCTCCTTCGTTCTCTCTTGCCCCCAAATGACACCAAAATGGGAAGACTTTAATAGCTCACTCCTGCTAAAACCTAGGGCCTTCCATTTGGGTATTTTTAGCAGCAACCTTCACCTTAAAGCAGACATGTCAAACACAAGGCCCGGGGGCTGGATGCAGCCCGTGAAGTGGTTTCATGTGGCCCGCGAAGCCATCCTGGAAACAGTGAGGGAACGGCCCCCGCTGCCTTGGCCCTGGCCCAGGCCAGCCGGGAGCCAGTGTACAATTTTGTGGTGGCCATCTTGGCACTTGCCCCGGTGAACCATGCCTTGGCACTTGCCCTGGTCCCACCCCCTTCTGCCAGAGACCCTCAGATCTGTCCCACTCCTGCCCAGGCCCCCCATAGGCCCCCTTGACGCGAATGATGTAGAACTGGCCACGCCCACCCAGTAGGCCACACCCACTCCATCCACGCCCACCCAGTAGGCTGCACCCACTCTGGCCACACACTCCTGCCCCCCCCCCCAGGGCAACCGCAATGCTGATGCGGCCCTCAGTGAAATTGAGTTTGACACCCCTGCCTTAAAGGCAACTCATCATAATTACTAGATTGACAATTTCCTTATGCTGCAGCAGCATGAAATTCCAACTGTTACACCATGATGGTAGGGGGGAAAAAAGGTCTTGGCATTCCTACATCTGTAAACAGAGAATTCAGAATTGTGTGTGGGATTAAGGGAAGTCTCAAGAAGTAACTGAGGCCCTACATGGATTCTTTCATTTCAGTTTCTCCCCCAACTATTGAGCACCTTCACATCCACCGAGGACAGGAATAGCAGAGACACACAAGGAGTGATCAACTGAGAGCAATTTGGATCACTGTTGCATCACTGGAAGTGTTTTTGCCTCTGGGCTGCGTCGAGGGAAATGTACTCCTCTAAATGTCTGTGGAGATTCTCCGTCCTCCAGGTCATGGCTGTCCCAGAGGTGCTTTTTCAAGAGGCATCGGGGACTTTTTTTGTTTTTCCTTGAAGACGTTTCGCTTCTCACCCAAGAAGCTTCTTCAGTTCAGATGAACTGGAGAAGCTTCTTGGACGAAAAGCGAAATGTCTTCGGGGAAAAACAATGGAAGTCCAGTTGCCTTTTGAAAAAGCACCTTTGGGACTCCTCTTAAGTGCCCTTTTGCACCAGTTGCATAAAAAGGCGTCTCCAACATTTCTGGGCCTATTGATCTAGAACAGGGCTTTTCAACCAGTGGTACGGGTACCCCGTGGTACATTTGGCACCTGGCAGGTGGTACGCGACCATCCTAGAAAAGTGGTAGTGGGGGAGGGGAATGAGCTGAACCAGTGGCAGCACCGCACATGCCTGAGCGAGAGACGGCTGGAGCTGCAGGGCTGTCAGGGCTCAGTGGAAGTGCCAGGATCAGTGCCGCTTTCCAGCTGATTGGCGCTTCTTCGGGGCTGTCAGGGATCAGCGGAAGCGCCAGGATCAGTGCCGCTTTCCAGCTGATCGGCACTTCTTCGGGGCTGTCAGGGCTCAGTGGAAGCGCCAGGATCAGTGCCAGGCTCCAGCTGGAGCTCGGCGCTGATCCTGGCACTTCTGCTGAGCCCAGAAGAAGCGCCGATCAGCTGGAATGTTGCAGCATCTCCAGGGTCTTCTGATTTACATTCAGATGCTTGGCAACCGATTCATATTTATGACGGTCAGTGTCCCAGGGTCATTTGGGAAGTGACCAAAACCTGCTGCAACCACCCAGCAGACGGGGAATAAAAAACAAACACTCCCCACCCCACCCCTACTGCCAATCCTCAACAGAAATGCTCACAACAATGAAAACCTCAGACAGGAGGAAGAGCACCGCCGGGCGGGCAGGCAGGTGTCTTCCTCGGCTGTGGCTTGGGGGTCACTTTTTTCAGTGCCATTGTAACTTCGAACAGTCACTAAGCGAACTGTAGTAAGTCGAGAACTACCTGTACTTTATCACTTTTTCCCCTTTTTTTTTGGTCATCAAAAAAAATGATGGGCAACTGGTGGTACTCGGATGTTGCCATATCCTAAAAGTGGCACAATGGGTGAAAAGGTTGAAAAGCCCTGCTCTAGAAGTCCTTTAGTTCTAAGCAAGCACCATAGGAGCTCCTAGCTAGCAGATTGGCCGGGGTGCAGTTGTGATCTCAAGTGCTTGAAAGGCTTAGCACAGGGAGTCCAAATGCAGCAACTTTCTTTAGGTACAGAGAAAAGCAAACAGCTTCAGGTGCCAAGGGCGTCACCAGGTAGAGAAAGACAAACAGTTAAGATGCCATTCAAGGGATTCTAAGACTTTCCACCCGTTTCCTCCCTCCTCCCCTCCCCCTTTACACTGATTTTCCTAAATGGCCAACTGTCCTTCCCATCTCAGCAGGTGGAGCAACAGGAATTCTCCCCCAAAACAAAGGGGGGGGGGGCTGTAGTCTTTCTGTGACAGAAGGGACCAAGAGGCTGTGACTTGTACCTGAAGTGGAGACAGACCTGAAGGAGCCAAAGAAAGGGTAGGAGGCTTCTTGCGTGCAAAACTAAATTAGGCAAGTGACGACTGCAGCATCCCTTAAGCTCCACACATGCACACACACACACACACAAAGCTACTCCTTAAAAAGATAAAGTCAGTGTGCGACACCCCCCCTAAGTCCTCCCACTATCATTGCTGTGTGTGCCTGTCATTTATTACCAGATTACCTACGAGTTCTGGAAGTCAGCGTCCAAATGCAACCGGGACGATGACAAAGAGTGGGAGGGCTGTTAAATGGATTAAGCAGGTGGGCTTTCCTTGGGTCAGTCCCTCTCTCAGCGCAGCCCACTTGACAAGAGTTGTGTTTGTGGGGGAAAACGGGCAGGAGTATTCTTCGGTTTGCCCTCTTGGAAAGGCGGGACAAATAATAACCCTTTTGCAAATAAGCTTCAGTAGGAAAAGGGAATGGCAGCAGATTCAGCTGTCATTATAGCCAGGAATGAATCACCTTGTTAGTATGAACTTTACGGGATGTTTTCTTAGACAAAGCAAACACTGCTCAGAAAAATTATGAAAACCCGACGGGAAAATGGGTAACCATCTGCAGGAATGCAGGGCTGGTAATTGGCAGTACCAGTAGAGAAACATGGTCCCAGTTCCCTGCACCACAATCAAAACCAGAAGCAAGACTTGCCTTGGGGATCTAGAACATTGTAAAAGGAAGGAGTTACATAACAAGAACTAGAATGTCTCCATATGCTGGTG